CAGGAGCGCAGGCAGGAGCAAGGCCAGGAGCGCAGGCAGGAGCAAGGGCAGGAGCGCACGCAGGAGCAAGGCCAGGAGCGCAGGCAGGAGCAAGGCCAGGAGCGCACGCGGGAGCAAGGGCAGGAGCGCACGCGGGAGCAGGGGCAGGAGCGCACGCAGGAGCAAGGGCAGGAGCGCAAGCAGGAGGAAGGGCAGGAGCAAGAAGAGCAAGAGGAGCTGGAGGAGGAGGGGAAGCAAGAGGAAGGGCAGGGGGCAGAAGAGGGACTGGAGTCAATGGCTGGGCTGCAGACAGATCGAGAGCTCAAGTTCCAGTCTGAATTTGTGTCTTCCAACCCTTTCTCCTTCACTCCCCGGGTCCGGGAAGTGGAGTCCACTCCTGTGATGATGGAGAACATCCAGGAGCTCATCCGATCAGCCCAGGAAATGGATGAAATGAATGATCTGTATAATGAAGAACCTGGCTGGAAAAAGCCAACCCGGGACAGGTACAGGCCGTTCTGACCCACGCACCCCGGCCACGGCCCTATCCCCGCTGCTGCCTTTTTTGGGAAGGAGAAGCTTCCTTTTCCCAGCCTCGGCTTCCAAGACCCACTCGGACCTGCTTGGGCTTCAGGCACGCCTAGCAGCTGTCTGCCTCACCTCTTCTGTCTCCGTCACTGCCTTAAGCACTTGTCCTAGATGCCCTTGCTCTGTGTGACGGGGTGGTGTGGGCCCTGGACCTGGGCCTGGGTTCTGGTCTTGTCTCTGCCTCTGATTGCCATTGCAGCTTTGGGGAGGATTACTTCCCCTTTCGGTTTCTCAGTTCCTCATTTGTGAAAGGAGGCAGTTGGCCTGGAGGCCTCTAAAGCCCCATCAGCATGCTGAATGTGTGTGACCAAGACCAGACACCAAGGGGGTGGGGTGGGGGAAGAATGGATGTGGCTTTCTGCTCCAGCCCTCCGGCCCATCCCCACCAGCCAGCGCTGTCTTCTTGCAGCCTCCTGCAGATGCCCCACGTAGAGGCCTTGCTGGTGCTATGCTACTCGATTGTGGAGAACACCTGCACCATAACCCCCACAGCCAGGGCCTGGCAGTACATAGAGGAGGAGCTCCTTGGCTTCGGGAAGCCGGTATGCCTGCAATGCTGTTTAATGGATACATGCTCGTTGGCTATCCTCTGGGCCCAGCACTAGACTGGGCCTTGAGAGTGAGGGGGGAAGGCAGGGGTACAGAAAGCACGAGGCATCACTGGAGAGACATTCTCTCTGAGTGAGAATCTTTCTTTGGGAGGACATCTCTCGCTCACCTTAAAGGAAAAAGGCCCAAGACCTAGTCTGGAATACTTTCCAGTCCAGAGTTCAGTCTTCCATCTCTCTGAGCTGTTAGGCTTGAGTTATTTCCTGAGCTAGTTCACCATCTTCAAAACCTGGCTTTGCCTTAGATGCAGCTCTCCTTTCCAGGGGGGCCAGAGATCCCATTCCAAGGATCTGTAGAGAGATCCCAGTCTCAGTGTGCCCTCAGCACCCAGCAAATCCTATTCCCAGGAAGATATTCTGTAGGCTTTCAAATAAGACAAGTTAGCAAGCACTTGTTAAGAGTGAGCATGCCCTCCATTCATCCGTTTGTTCAGTATTGCATAGTGCCAGGCCCAGAGGCTGGCCGAGCAAGTTAAATAATTGACTTTTTAGTGTATAGCGTACCAACTCTGGGCTAGTACTAGTACTCGAGATGTTGGTGATGGGTAAAATAGAACCAGTCTTCTTAGACTAGTGGGAGAAACAGATGAGGTAACAGGCAGAATAGTGTGATGGATAAATGCAGCCATGGGTAAGTACATAGTCCAGATGCAGCAGATGGGGCACTCCACGGTCCATATTTGGGAGGATCAGAGAATTCTTAGAGGAACCAATGTTTAAAACAGAGACCTGAAGATGAAAGACGTTAAGCAGGCAAAAGAAGGGGTTTGGTAGAGGTTCCTGCTAGAGGGAATAGTAGAGCACCAAGAGTGAGCAAACTGCTCCCGCCCTTAAGGGGTCTGAAAGCATGAGGGATTCAGTAGCATTATAAAAGAAGTGCGCAGTAGGTGCTGGAGAGAGACTTTACTTTTTAAGATTTTATTTATTTATTTGAGAGAGAGCATGGGGGTGCGGGGCAGAAGGAGAAGCAGACTCGCCGCTGAAAGGAGAGCCCCCTGTGGGGCTCGAGCCCAGGACCCTGAGATCATGACCTGAGCCGAAGGCAGACGCTTCACCACCTGAGCCACCCAGGCGCCCCCTGAGACTTTTTTTTTTTTTTTTTTTGAGTGTAGGAAGTTCAGGAGTCGTGGAGAGCTCCCTGGATATTGGGGTTTGGTTAAGGGACCAGTCAGGAGCCCATTTTTACCTGGAGCAGAGGGGCAGGAGATAGAGTCAGAGAGATAGGAAGGGTCCTAAGGTGAAAAATCTCAAACAGCGGTCTGAAGCATTTGTATTGAACTTGGTAGGAAGCGCTAACCTGATAACGATTTGAGTCAAGGACATGATGATGCTCCCTTACGTGCTGGTGTGAGGAGTAAGCAAGGCG